GGATGAATGTATCACTTAGCAAGCGAAATTCGGTACAGCTATCTGAGAACGTATTGCACGAACTAATCGTCGATTTTTCACTTAATTAACGTGTTGATGATGAATAATTGGGGCGAAAGATTGACAATATTCAATTCCAGAGCATGATTGAGAAACCGCAGCACTAATAGATAGATGGATAGATAATAATTCATTGTATAAATAGAAATACAATTCTAATTACAAGGGTTGCAATTCGAGCTGAAAAACAGGTTTCCATAATACTGTTCCTCAAAGTGATAAAAAAGGTTATCATAGATGCTGATGAAAACCAAGAACCAAAATATAGTGCTATAAAAGGACAAGAAACAAGGAAAGCAATTTGAAAAAAAATTCAGATATTTGTCATCACATTTATTCGTTGATAATGAATGACCTGAGTCTCATCACTGAGTGAACCAAAGCTTCAAGTTGTGAAAGTGTTCCATAAGCCAAAGGCGAGTGGTATCTTCTATATCATTCAGTTACTCAAACGGTCCATTTTCCCGTATGCCTCTATAAATTGGGCATACCAACAGAACATGTTCAAGTGATTCGATTTCATGTATATAGTTTACAAATTGAGCATGTTACTTCAGTGTTGATTGTGTAATAAACCAGGCCGTTGAAGGTTAATCTGAGAATTTTTTTGCTGCAAGTTCGTAATTGAGTCACACAATATACCGGGTGGCTACGGAAGTATTGCCTACGGAATATCTCAGTTATTGTATGAAGTAGGTTTGTGAAATTTGGAGCGTTGATATAATGACATAAGAGCTAGAATTTGAGCATTTTGACATGTCGAAGTTAACTTCCGGTCTGACCGGAAGTAACATCAACTTTCTTATTTTAAATAGAAACCCTATTTTTTTTTCTCTTCGCTTTATTCAGCATTCAATTCCCTTTCTAATGACATATCACAAGTTGGTATCTAACCAGAAACTAGATCAGAAAAAAAATATTATTGAAATTCACCGAGTAGGCCGTGGAAGCAAAATGAAAGCCAAAACATGACTTTCTATTATATCATTAGAAAGGAATGGTTATGCTGAAAAGTACAGGCAAGAAAATGTTGTATGTTCCTATTCAAGTTATGGACCTACAGAGTATTGTTTTTTTCCCAATTTTTCCAATATTTTTTTTGGAGGCTTTTCATAACGCCGACGAATGAAAATAAAATATCACAGTAGTTGCAACTGTTATCAAGTGACGTATGGTTTCCATAGCCAACTTTTCAATTTTTGCCTTTCATTTTGCTTCCATGGCCTACTCGGTGAATTTCAATAATATTTTTTTTCTGATCTAGTTTCTGGTTAGATACCAACTTGTGATATGTCACTAGAAAGGAAATTGAATGCTGAATAAAGCGGAAAGAAAAAAAAATAGGGTTTCTGTTTGAAATAAGAAAGTTGATGTGACTTCCGGTCAGACCGGAAGTTGACTTCGACATGTAAATATGCTCAAATTCTAGCTCTTATGCGTCATTATTTCGACGCTTCAAATTTCACAAACCTACTTCATACAATAACTGAGATATTCCGTAGGCAATACTTCCGTAGCCACCCGGTATATAGTTTGGGCCGTTAAGATACGAAGACAGATTTTGGTAGATTAGTGAATATGAAGAATTCGATGACCTCTCTAAACCATAGTGCAACTTTGAAATGTCTCTGAAATACAAGCAGTATCTCTCTTGAAGACCTACAATGAGAAATTCTGCCAGCGTAATTTTTTTTGACGGAGTGATATTGATTGGGAATTATGACAAAAACATCATTCATATGTAATATTTGTACTCCTTTTTAAAACGATATTTTCATCCGTTTCGAGAAAAACGCAATTGAACAGAGATGTTCAATTGAACTATCCACTCATTCTTGGTCATGTGATCTACTGTCGAAATATTACACGTTAATCATAATCCACTGAACATCAAAACTTTGAAACATGACTCAAACATAAATGGTATGTTACATTGTTATTACTTCGTGATGTGTTATTCAGAGAAATGCGCTGAATGTCACAGATTCGTTGCGGCAATGGGCCTTTGTGACTCTTTAAAATATCACAAAGTAGTGTTAATGGTGGATATTATATTAGTCTAAGATCCGAACCTAAATCGACCTTCACCGAGCTGATAATAGAACGTAATATATTTTATCATGAATTTAGTATATTAGAAAACATATTAATAATGTGTTCGCTTAAAAAATCCTGGGCGGACTATTTTTAATTATTTTTCGGAAAATGATTTTTAATGGAATGTTGCAACATCAGGATAATAAAAAAAAATTTTCCAGACTGAAAGTATAAAACGTATAGAATGTGCAGCCGTTGGGTTGTCTACTATTTACCTGGGCGAACTACTGGGTTGTCAGGTAAACACAGGTATATCGATGCCAGTTACTTCCACTGGATTGGATAATTAGAAATAAATTATATCATCATAAGCGCTGTTTGATTGCGAACACGTTGATATAGGGTTGTCTGCGAAAATTCCGGTCCTATTAGGGGTTTGCGAATTTTAAAGATTTTAATTTCAACGCGTGTGGAAGTGTTTGACAGAGAGATCCGAGGTAAGTATAAAGGACCCAACATCGCAGTCGCTTGTGAAGTCAAATCCTGAAAACTATGGTTGGCATTTTGATGATTTTTTAGAACCAACAGGTTTTATCGGAGATCAAACTCCTTTGAAAATCCAGGACATTGTCGAAATTGAAGCAAATGAGGAAGAATCTAATGAATCAGACGAATTCGAGAGTCAAAATGATACTTCTGATGAATCAGATATTGAATAGAAAATATTTATTAGAATTTATTTTTCATTAATATTATTTTTGTATTTATACTGTTTTTTAATGAAATTTTAACTCGTAATACAAGATGTCTAGTCTATCTTCTTTGTTATTTCTCAATTTAAATTTTTGGCGGTCCACTTTGTTTCTATTTCCAGAAAGAGCAAAAAAATTTCAAAGTAAGTTATTAATATTTTTATTGTCTTTTATAGATTATAGATATATTATCATGGTTATAACGCAATATATTGATATTACATTGTTTTTATATATTAGTATTATATTAAATATATTTAATTATTATGTAATTAATTAATAATTTTTTTTTGCTACTGAAATATCAGTTGCTCCAAAATAACACGCACTGTTTACTATATGAAGGGTAGTAGAGGTACCTCTACCCTCCATAGTTTACACACCGAGCATGCGCACTTTCTACTATTCACGGTCCCATCACAAGCGACTGCGATGTTGGGTCCTTTATTATTACACAGTATACTTACCTCGGATCTCTCAGTCACACACTTCCACGCGCGTTGAAATTAAAATCTTTAAAATTCGCAAACCCCTAATAGGACCGGAATTTTCGCAGACAACCCTATATCAACGTGTTCGCAATTAGACAGCGCTTATGATGATATAAATTTTTTTTAATTATCCAATCCAGTGAAAGTAACTGGCATCGATATACCTGTGTTTACCTGACAACCCATCAGTAGTTCGCCCAGGTAAATAGTAGACAACCCAACGGCTGCACATTCTATACGTTTTATACTTTCAGTCAGGACAAAATTTTTTCATTATCCTGATGTTGCAACATTCAATTAAAAATCATTTTTCGAAAAATAATTAAAAATAGTCTGCCCAGGATTTTTTTAGCGAACCCATTTTTAATATGTTTTCTAATATACTAAATTCATGATGAAATATATTTCGTTCTATTATCAGCTCGGTGAAGGTCGATTTGGGTTCGGATCTCCTACTATATGAAAATTTCAGGAATTACAAAAAATCAATAATACACCATAGCGACTATTCAATGTTACTAAAAATATCTAAGCAATATTGATCATTCTTTAGTTTATAGGTTAGTTGATAGGTTAATGTCTATTTTTCCGGAAATCATCAAGAAATTCATGTGAATGACCTTTAGCAAAGATAGAGAAAATATATCTCTGAATATAACTGCGTTAATGAATTGATCTTGCCGTACTCCTGAAAGACTATGAGTATAATCCAGTTATACAGTGATATTTTGAGACAGATCAACAACTATATTCTCAAGTATCATTTAAGTAGATTACTGAAACAATAACTGTTATTCTGAGTCATGAATCCAGTCATACCTAGCTCAGGTAATGACTTCTGCATAATCTAGTGATCTCTTACTGGACCATATTGTCTTGAATCCTGAAAAGTAAAAGGTAAATAAATATATGATTTTTCATCAAGTTTCCTGACTGATTTTGAAATTATTTTCTGACTTTGTTCTGTTTCTTACTATGATGCATATCACCCATTCTTGAGTGTAATTCGTGAAATATGAAAACAATCTTTATTCACGAATCCCCCCAATTTTTCCACATATTGTGGATTATTGATGCATCAGATTCGTTGTATTTCTATATTCCAGTAGGGAAAATTCATATTTTCATTCGAATTTGTTTTAGTCCAATACTTTTTCAGTCCTCAACTCACTTTGATCACTACGAATGATAGCTGAAAATCGATATTTTCACTGATCAAACTAGTTGACCTAGACTGGAATAGATAGAATTGACTTATGACAGTTGAAGAGCTCACTTTGCCATAGAAAAAAAAATTATCATCCCCATGTATCCTGTATACATGGACCTGAGCTACGTTATAAGGTGGTGAGACGAAAACATTGCATAAATGATATAACAACTCTGTCTGAGATCTATTTAGACAACCTATAATCAACATATCACATCAACATTATCTATAATATCGATTTCAATATTGATGCAACGTCTCATTATTGTTTCACTTTATAATATTATGTTCAACACTTCTGAAGGACATTATCCCAATTATATTTCAACAATATTACGAAACTGATAACTGTAAAAAAATATCTTTCTTATTTATCATGTTTAGTGGGAAAGCGCTCTGTATATAATCGAACTCATTGATAATTATCGAAGGCCGTTTCATTTTTTGCAGATAATCATAAAACAGGATTCCGATTCACACCAATGATGAGTGTCCTAACAGGAGTATTCTCAGCACTGATCATCGTGGCATTGATCGTGATATTGGTACTTCGATTGCAGTGCACGCACAATCACAACAGGCGAAAAACTCACAAGAATATATCAGGAGCGGATATGGAGCATAGGAGGTCGAATAGTGATCAAGCACTGAGTGATAAAGGAGGTTTGTTGATATTCCACATTTCGAAGAAATATGAAATCAACCACAATAATTACCCTGAACAATTGATATTCCAACAAGAATTGTGATATAATGATGCACGTTGAGATAGCAAGTATATATCATGTAGGATTGAAGGAAATACAGAACATGAAGAGGTTCCTGATTATTTGAAAGGTATATTCTCAACTATCTGATGGAAATCAGTTAGATTGTCATTGATCTATAGGTTGGCTCCTATATAAATTAGTAAACCGTCTACCGTCTACCGTTTTATGATGGCCCTGGAAAAAGGAAATGGGCCTTCATGTCAATATTCATATTGAAAGGTTTTGGAATACTATGATAGATCTATCGCATGAAACAATTTGGCATTCAGCCCACTTTGGTTTTAAGAGAACTCTGTGTGAGTTATTGAAATTCTTTATCAAAACTATTCACTCTTGACAATCATCTTGAAACACGAGTTTCATTAGTGTCCCGAATTTGACCAAGAGCTTTTCAACTAAATCCAATGAAAATTCCCCATGAAGCAAACATCAACGGTGTTAAACCCAAATCCCATAATATAAATGTTCGTATTTTTTTGCCTACGACGACTCAAGTTGAAATTAACTCACAAGAAAATGAATGGTGTAAATTTAGGAGAAAAGGCAACTTCAAGCGAAAAAATAAAGAAAATCACTTAAGAATCGAAAATCGAGTCGTGAGAGCAAAAGCAAATCGGAATTCTCAAACCCAAGCAATTCCAAACACTGCGTCTTTCAATTCATCTCAACTGAAATAACAAATTGCAAGAATTCTTAAGGACCTGATGTTCATGAAGTACCATCAACGAGTCAGAACGTAATGGAAAATACTTTTAATATATCTGAATGGAAACTAGGAATCGGGAAAAATGACAACAGCTTTGCACAAATTTTATGTCAGGTGGCGAGCATTCAACATTATATAAGGCAAACTGCACTGAGTATAGTTTGTCTATGTATCCTACTTGGTTTCCTACTTGGAACCAATCACAAAATTCACAAACTGAACAATGTGAATAACAAAAGTAGGGTTATGTTGATCATGTTGATGACGTTCTTCTACACTTCTGCCACACTTCCCAATGAGCACTAGTCAGGATATTCTTGAAGCTTTAGAGTTTTATGAAGGCATTATCATACCCAGGAACAAATGGTCATAAGAATGGATCTGAAAATGCAATGATTTCTTCAACATGAGGAAATCGTGTCATAAAATGCCTTATCATTACCTAAAGGTTTGAATTAAGCATTAGAGAAAGAAAATTGGTTTTAAGTATATTTTGCGCCACATTTTATACGAACAGATGTCGGGCATTGATGAAAATGAAAATTTCAAGAGGAAAATGAAATAAAAATCACTGATACTGCCGTCGAAAGTGTTGTTTTCCACATTTTTCAAACGACTCACCAATATTCAGCATACATCCATACAGACTTGTCAACTTTTTTGAAAATTCATTCAAATTCGCATTCTATTATTCTAACTGGTGAAACCACATTATTTCTAGAGCGCTGCTTTTTTTGAAGCATATCTGGTATGTTTTCGTCAAGAACATCATCAACGTTTTCATTTCACAGCCTCAATCTTCACAAAAAACTATCTGATACAGTAGGAAATTATCATATCATACCGCCATGTTGACTCTCTTTCATAAATATTTATTGTCTTTACTCCATTTCCAAATGTTCGTTTTATAATTTGTTCTGGAAATATAGACTCCCATATAACACGTTATAGACTATATCACCTTAACAAATGCTTACTGCAACTGATACGGTTTTAACTCTAGCCAATATGTGTTTTAATGTTGGCATAAGAACTGTAGCTTCAAAAATTATAGGTTTGAACTCGTGCTAAAAGGCTTTGAAGAAAGCAGTTTTGATAGGTTTCATTATTGCTTTGAGGCATACTACAATAAATTCCTTTTTGTTTAATGACAAGCTTAAAGAGAAATCTGTGACAGATTTTAAAAAAGTGGGCCCTTTATGTTTTGAGAAGGTTGTTTTATTGTTCTGATGATATTCATGAGGTATAATAGTTTTAAAATGGCATTTTGAAATAGCCCGTAACAACCTCTGGTAGCAAACAATACGTCAATACGTCCGTCTCGCTTCATTCAATTATTATAATTCCAATAACGAATTCTGAATCCATAGATGATTGCAAATGAGAGATCGAGACTATTTCGTGCTTTGTTTAGGTGGAAGTCCAATATCAAAACATGAATCTAGTGGCGGAGAATGCGATAGTGACGAGAAAAATCCAGACATCATTCCGCAGCCAAACGATGTGGAAGAATCGACATACTCATGGAAAAGGCAGCACGTTTCCACGATAGAAACATCTCCCAGCCGCAGTCTTCTTCATCAGACCGGAAACCCGTCGTCTTATATGGGTTATTGTACCCTCAGGAATGAGATACCAGCACATGAGTTTTCCCCCCAATCAAAGTTGGTAAGCATAAGATTGTATCCAAATCATTTTCTTTTCACGATCGTGACACTAGGAATCAGGATCTGGAGACCCACATTCATTGAAATGTTAACAAAGAACCCATTATTTATATCGAATTTTATTCGAATTCATTGAAAATTTTCTATTCATCATGTTGAAGGTTCCAATAAGATTTTGAATAAGAGAAAAAAATAAACTACCGCATCAAATCTCTAAACTATACTTGGTTTCCATTTCAATTCACAACGGATTCCAGTATCCTACTTAGACTTCATCTGCATAACATATTCTCTGCATAACATTCATAAACAAAGTAGTAGCTTCAGATCATTAAATGGATACACTATGAAGAGAGTGAGCCTTTATGTCCATTCGATCACATTACTGTTTTGCTCAATTCACCAAACTCTTAGGGGCTTTCGATAAGGGTAACGAGGACATATCTTGTTGCTTGTTTCACCTGGTGACCAATCCATCGTCAATGTTAGAGTATTAGACTTGGTTTGCTCTACATGATGGAAAAACCAACTGAATGGACCATTCTTAGCATTGCTCGTAGGATATTATGAATCAATTTTCAATGTAAATGTGAAATTGAAGCCAACCTTGGTAGAAAGTGTAATACTCAGAGAGCAATTTGCCTGTTCTAGTGCTGATTTCAGTAAAAGAAACTTATTCACCATCAATCTATCACCATATAACTATAGTGGAGATATACCATTTTGGTAGAATTACCTACACATCAGTGCTGTTGTTGACAATGATAGCCAGTCACAACCCAAACTGACAGTATAATTATACACATACCAATTTATGACGTCACTATGACGTACTTTCAATGACGTGATAATCACGTCATCATTTCGACGTCGAGTGAACGTCACTTAGAAAGATAAACTAAGACGTCAGTAACATGATGTTGCAGGGACGTCTTGTCGATGTCCATGTTCATCAGTCCATATCTAAACCACTTATATTAACATCATCATGAGAGAAAGTTAGGTTTGTGACGTACCTTTATATACAGGACGGGCATTCTTAGTACTCGTCGAGAATTTTTCAGGAAAAATCGATTTTTCATCAATTTTACACACATATGGTTTTAACGTCGATATAGAACTATAACTCATTGATAAAAATCAACATGCAAGTTTCATTGGAATTATATGTACCCAGGAGGTAAGAGAAACTTTTTACTAGTTTTAATCTCCTCCTGAAGATGCTAACATAGTTAGCAAAACACGTGTCGTGGCGTAAAAGGAGTCGGTGCTTAGTGGTAAAACAGTGAAGTGGATCAATCTTGGTTGACATATTCACTCAGCAATATCAAAAATACAACTTCCTTCAATTCCTTTCAGATGTCCGGCCCTCCTCGAATAATGAGCCCCTTCTCCTCCAGCACGATGCCCCGCCAGTCGCCGCACCAGTGGCAGTACACCCCCTCCAACCACCCGCGGCCCCCTGTCCACCCCCCGGCGGCCTACAGGGGCGTGCACCCCCAGCAGTGGCTGGGCCCTCAGCAGAAAGAGCCCCCCATCGCGCTGCAAGCGCTGCCGACCACTGAGGAGGAGCCCTCGGCCGAAACGCCGCTGGTGGCCAACAAGCGGGAGAGTACCGTCTGACTAATGGTACCGCCGTAATGCAAGTTGAATATATCTATCAAGGAGACAGGGTTTTCCGATTAGGCGTACGATAATAATGATATCATATTTATCAGGGCGTTGTGTCAGGTGAAGATTAGTGATACCTCATTTCTGGAGCATCGTTCACAAACAAACGCTTTGCGTTTTTCTTCTCTCATTATTCAATATTCCAGATTTTTTGAGATTATCTCTCCTCGTTTCTATAAAATAAATATTTGAATATTATTTCAATATACGTGTATCAGATGATTTGCCCCAAAATGTCACTACCTTTAAGGAAATTTCCGATCAGAGAACCTAATAGAAAAATTCACTAGCTTGTCAGTGACAATTCGAAGTGAAGAAAGGTTTAAGAAGGGAAATATAAGTATATAGAAAAAATATCAAATTTCTACTTAGCTTTGGATGTTTCGGGAACGAATCTGTTCCCGTTTTCAACATAAAAAATGGTTTTTTTGTTTCGCAAATTCGAATTTGTCTTGACACTTTCCAGTTCTCGATTAACCTACTGACAGATATAATTGCTTCATTTTTATTGCCTACCATTTTGGGGAAGAGTACCTATAAAAAAATATATCTAGAATTCAAGCCCACTCATGCCTAGGATACCTATTATGAAATTTGCATTACCCTACAGGGTGTAATTTGATTAATGGCTAAAAATATGGGATATGGCTAATTAGCTCATTCTGAAAAGGAAAGATCATATGAACACATGTTCTGAACCTCTTAACTTTCGAGCTGTAAGGTGTTGAAATTTTAAGAAGAGAATCGTTTTCCCATCATAACTTCAATAGGTATCTACCGTTCTAGATATTTTCTAGAAATTATAGATGCATCTACTAGCACCAAAAGGCATTTTTTGATGGGGGAGATTTTTCAATATTTTTACCAGTGGCGTCCGTATGGACTGTATACGGAAGATTTTTCTAAAAAAAATTGTACGCCATTGCTTTCCCTAAAAATAGGAATAATTTTTGAAATCGTTATTTATCTCGCAACGAGTTGATCTGTTGAATGTTTTCCATCTGATGCACAGTTTTCTTCTCAGCTCTTTCATTTATCAGATATGGTGACAGAATCAATATACAGGGTGTTTCAATGATATTGGAGATATTTCTCAGATCATAATGAAAGAAATTTCATATAAACGCTTGCTTTGCTATTCTTGTTCTCCCTTAATAATTTTCAGTATCGACAGTATCCGAAAAATGAATGAATGGAAGTGATTTGGGTTATACCACCAATTCACTGCGACTGTAGAAGTGATTTACTCGAAATAATGTAGAAAATAGGTGACACCACGTTTCATCACACCAAGCGGTATCTATTTGGATAGACACCATTTTGAGGTTAATACTAGTAAGCCCAAATGGTGTTATTTGATTTGTGACCTAGATTGTGAGTTATTCATATTTCAACATGACAAGAAAAACCGAATACTGAATTGGTCAAGTCAGATGACAGTCTACTCAGGTTATATATCCAATGGAAACTTGATCGTTTTGCTATTGGATTTCCAAATGCAACCATGAATTATGATAGATGCGAATTCCACACTATTTATTGTCAGATGTAGAACTCATGACACCTAGTGAATTCTATACTATGTAGGCTAGGAAAAACATGAATTTGATTTGATTTTGTCATTGAAAATCACCTGCAGAAATTATTTCAAATCGAGAACGGTGGTTCGTGAAGCAACTCCCACCAAGTCTGCGAGTTTAACGTGACAATGTAGAAATACTTATTCAAACACTAAGGTAGATGAGAATATCATCATTACCCATCAGCGACCAAGATTATGTTCCGAGGCTTCAGCCGAGAGGTATGAGGTCCCGTGTATTCTTCACTATCAAGATGTATATTGAATTTTTTTCACCACTAGCAATATGTCTATGAAAGCACTTTCAATTCTGAATGAACCTATTCACCATTACTGTATATGACAAGTCGTTATTGATGAATAACTACTAGATTCGAGTGCTATTCCTGTGAATATCACATCAGAACGATGAATTCGGGTTAATTATTACAGGGGTGACTTTATTGACTAGTGGTTCATAAAATGACGAAAACTATCTTGGTAAAAACACACTTCAAAGGAGTAAGTTATGGTACGTTCTATGACTTGTTGTGAAAAAACTTCATTATTGTCCTAACAAAAACTGATATCGATCAATTACTACAAGGTGTTTCAGAGTCGTGTGACAAAAGCATATATGGAAGATTCCTCTCAACGAGATATATGAAGAAAAGTTAATGTGAACATGGGTCCGCTTCCTTTCTGAGATACAGCGTGTCCTAGTTTGAAAAATAACGTTTTTTTTTTAATATCTGGAGAACGCTCGAGCTGATTTGAATGAAATTCGTATGGTTTGTTAACATAATTATCAGACATTCATTGGACCAATTAGATTTGATCCAGAATTTCCAGGGACGAACCCATCGAGCAGGTCGGCTATTTTTATTGAAATAAAAGTCACCCTCAGATTTTCTTGGGTTCTTTCCTAATATTCAGATGAATCCAGTAAAAATACAACATTTTTGTCTCATGCTAATTTTTTGGATCTTGATTCGTTCTCAAGAAAAACAGACAATACTATACCTAGGCAGATCTCTGAATTTCATAAGAAAAAATGAAAATGCCTACATATTATCGTGAAATTCATTGCATAGTAGTATTCATTTATGAAACCAGAAAAAACATGAAATTCGAATTGTATACGATCTTGAAATGTTGTTTGGAATACTTTTTTTAGATGATAATGAGAAACTATTTTTGTTTTCAATACTTGGACCCATATTTATATATAGTTTTTTCATATTTGGTTGAGAATATTCTCCCAAAGGCTTCTGTTACTTCAACTCCGTAACACCCTGTATGTCAGCTGTGAAATACAACGAATGTATATTCTTGCAGATATTCAGTATGTCACCCGAATATCTCGTGATTTTGTTAGGTGGTATTCTATTATAATTGAAGAAAAATTCCATTCAATTTCAGCTTGAACTCAATGTATCTTGAAAACGAAATGATTAGCAAACAATGTTTATGAAGAAAATGTCTTCTCATTTGCTATTGGGAAGTGTGCCACCCTGTATCACAAAAGTAAGTATTGTGGTTATCATTGTTTATTTTATATTCTTACCTATACTCTTGGTATGTGAAAAATATTTCGAACTGAATAAAAAGAATGTGAATTGGTTTTGGAGCTATTGGGGTTGGGCTCGAAGATATGGGTATATCAAGAGATAGCAGAGCATTCACCATTTAACGTTAACATTTTCATTTTCTACTACTTCCACTCTGAATTTCCATATTTCGATAACGAAGATATGAGAAAAAGGAGAGTGCAATATAATATCCAACAGAAGGAACAAAAAATATGAGCTCAACTGAAGTTCCCATGACCACATATCGAAGATGCTCAAAATTTTGTGAATATCGCGAAAATAACCACCAACTTCATATTTCAATCTGAAAACCACACAAGAACTTTGTTATGAAATGCGTAGCTCAAAAGTCTCAAAATATAGTTCCCGTACAATTTTTCAATGAAATGAAATCAACTACTCCAGTTTTGCTTATATATTTTGAGTAGGTACCCAATCAGATGACATAACAAATAAGCGAATTCCAAAATACTTGAATGTGGACGGTGCTATATCTAATAGATATTTCCTCAAGAATACCTGAAAATTGCACGTTTCAGATATTTTTTCCTTAATTCTCGATGAAAAAATTCCCATTCTTATAGATATAATTTCTCTTTTATTCATGAATCAATACGCAATTGCTTAATATAGATTTGTCACATATTTTGATACAAACATTCTTAGTTCTCTGGGATGAATTGATATTTTGACAATATATTAAAATGCCTACATATTATAGATGTGTTCCATAAGAAATCAGGTATCATTAAATTTTTACACATGTTCTATGCTTATCGAAATTGTGATTTTGGTTTAGAAATATTGCAGGGCAAGAAAAATAATCTCTATGTAAACATGAGAAATTCTTCATAGTGTAGAATATATTGTATCACCTCTCGTGGTGAATGAACAATATGTTGGTACTCATGACTGACATGTTCCTTCGTCAGACTTCACTATGCCGAGTTTCTCATTTGGATGGTCAATATAATCTGATGAATATTTTGTTTGTAAATAGGTTTGTACTGTAGCATGTATAAAGTTAACTTTAAATGTGTTCATCATTGTATATACGGTAGATTGTTGTTTGAATCAGATATCTCTTGTGTTCGAAACCTTTTATATCGCTATGGATGAAGAATAATATGATGCATAAAACTTTTCTGATGTTATTTATTCTTGTATTTTAATGATGGCAAACAATATCACTAATCTTGCAGTGTATGTATATATTAGTGTAATTATATTGGTATGTCTGAGTGTATATACTTATCAATAATAATCATTCATGACTATCTTTAATATTCATGTTGATGGACTAATTGACTTGGTATCAATTAACATTGAAGCTGACTTGAGTGATTCACTGTGAATGTTCCCCTGTCGTTTGATTATTTCAGATGCGATTTGTCAATGAATCAAACAGAATGATCATCGATTTCATCGATTTCTCAAATTATTTCTGATATAACCTGAGTATTGAGGAAAATTTCCAGTTGAATCAACCTGTGCCTACTGTGAGGTAACTCTGTTAATCAGAAAAAGTAGTCGATGGGTACCTCGTACACTTAAGAATTATTATAAATGTAAATATTGTGAATAAAATGAATTCCGCCTTGTAAATAAAACCAATAGGTATATTATCAATTCTTCGCTCGTTTTATATTTTCTAAATATGTATTTCATCTGTTATGAATTTACTTGATTGTGAATAATTAATAAAAATGACAAAAAAGTTATTCAATGTTCTGCATTTTTTATTCTAACACAACTAATGACACATAAACGACGCTGATAGTTTCCTATATAATATCTTGCGG